ACTGCAATTTTTTAAATCCTATTACTTCAAACTGGCATATAGTAAGATGGAGGCCGCTTGATTTTCCAGCCAACATGAACTCGTCATGTGGAAAGAGAAGGATTATTTGTTTTCATGAGTATGCCTGTATTTGTGTGTCATGTCAAAGTAAGCCTGGCATGAGAGTGAAAGGTTTACCTCACCATTCCGCTTACATCAGTCTGCCTGACAAAGGTTCAATGCAAAACATGTGACACGCGCACGCACACTCACACTCGCTTATCACTGAAGTGAGGGAACTTGGCAGGAAAAAAGTGTGTCTCGTTTTCATGTCCTGGTATATCTGAAATCCTATCTCTGACATCACAGAGAAACGACCCTCGCATTTATGCTGAGTTCACAGCCTGGCTGTGAGCATGTGAGGTTCGGACATTCCTGCGCAATCTTAAGATTCTGGACTTCACTCGCGCTATCTCAGTGGACACAAAACTAACACCGCTGATCCGTCACACACGCGGTGACTCACAAAGCGCCCTGACCTCTCAGGCCTCAGACTGGATGTTGCATGGCCTCCTCATCGAGCTTTTCCTGAATCCCTCACATCTTTCTGTTCCTTTTTTCTCCTCTCGGCACACTGATGGATAGTCCTTCCATGTATCGCGGCTCTGCAGTGTTTGTGTAAGGCGCTGCTCTTGATTTGCTGTTGTTTCAACCTTCCATGGAGGCAGAGCCTCTCCCCTCCATGCTGCGGGTCACTGAGTCATGAGAAGGCGCTGCATGTGCTGTGCGACAAGGCTCTGCATCTGATGTGACCTTCCTCAGCTTTCCTTGAGATATAAAACATGTGCAGGCATTGTCCTCCATCTTATTTTGTGTGTCTGTCTGGGTGAAAAGCCCTTTTGAGAACTGCAAGTGTTCCCATGTCAACATGATGTAATTCTGCCCCACTTACCTAATTAAACCACTTAGTTTAATGCTGACCTTCTTCAGTTTTAACTGTCTGTAACATGTGGAATCACTAATAATCTGGGAATTGCTGAACTTGAGATGAGTTCCCCAGTGTCCGTTTGCTGCTTGTCTAAAAGTGATTGCATACGTGTCCACTGAGGAGTCCACTTATATCGTTTGTCACCAATAAGTATGGATACTTAATTTGTGTCATGGCTGTGATGAAACAAGTTTCACTGGTCTTAAAGAGGGGACAAAGTGATCAAACTGGCAGAAAAACATCGCATGAGAGGCCTCACTAATGTTGTGTCTGACATGTTAAACATTATTGGGTCAGCCTTCTCACTCCATGGAGTGCATAGGAGTCAAACATTGTCCCGTTACTTCTAAAACAAAGCAAACAATTCATCTCAGATGCTCTCTGTTCTAAATATAAATGCGAACTGCTTTTGTTCACTGTTTCTAACATTCCTTACAAACATTGTGAGTAATCAGCCTTAGGGTTGGGGTTAGGATTAGGGTTTCACTCCCACTGAAAGAGATTTTTTACTAATAATAATAATCTTCACATAATATATGTGCAAAAGCAGGCTTCCATTTCCAAACCACTCATAAACAAATTCGACAGCTGCATGGTGATGCACACTGAATCCTAGGAGGTTCCACACACTAATTGAAACTTATAATTATGATGTTAGGCTTTACAAGGAGGCAAATAATTCCCAGATGCATGATGCACCTGGCATTATCCCACAGCCCGGTGGAAGATAAAATATTTTCAGGATGACATGTTTTTAAGGAAGTGTACATGGGTGGGCTCATGTGCAAATCTCATTGCAAACGAGACTGTGAACAGCACCGGCAGCCTTCCTGGTGTTGAACACATTATTCAGCCTAAAACAACCGCACATTTACACGTTTCACAGCTTTTCTGTCTCCCTCTGTCTCTGCTTTGCTGTATTAAACCTCTATTCATCTATCCTTTGTACGTTCATCAACCAGAGGGGTTCTTTTGCAGTCTGGAGGGGGTGAGCAGCCCCTTCGGCTCAAAGACGCCCATATATAGACAGCAGACATTAGGTAAACGCAAGGTAGACGTTAGCTAAACTCAAAGCAGGCAGGACTCAGTCAGCTGCTTTACATGTAACACTGATACGCTTCTGTGAGTTGGCAAGAATGAGGGCAGAGCAGGTTATGTGGATGGATGTAGGGGGTGGCAGCAGGTGCATGAGTGAGACTGGCCGTGCTTGTAGCGATGATGCCTGTCAGACTCCATATGAATCATACTGTTTACACACATTACCACACTGATGCTGTATTCATGTGAAGAATAACACCTTCACTTTGTTGAAAGAATTGCTGGCAGGAGCCTGCATTTCTGTGCCAGTCCTGGAAAGTGGTTATTTCTTTTTATTCCAGAGGGATAACTGGCCAAATTCAGACAACATGATGTCACGTCTACAGGTCTCCTCTATACAGTACAATAGGCTTTAACGTCAACATCAATAACTCAATAATCCCATGACTGTTTTACCAAACTTCATCGTGTATCAACCCATATTTTGACAAGCAGGTATTCTAAATTTTTGGCATGCTGCTACTTCAACCTACACGTGTCACCAAAACTGGAATGAATCAAGGCAAATGAAGTTACTTCAATCCATTCATATATTCTGAGCATGCGTGTTGAAGAGGCTGGAGTCCTCAGAAGGAACAGATCTCCAAACTGAGCTACTTTTGTGGCATCATTGTCAATTCAAATAGTGCGGAGGCCCCCAAATCAACCAAAAGGTGGGGAACAACAAAGAAAAAGAAATAAAAATGAATTAGGAAAGTGACGCTTCACTATGAAGGAACTCTCTTCTTCCTTAGACAGTTATTGCTCAAAAATGCATGGATGTCCCTGAATATGACATCCCATGGGGAATACAAGTTGCTCTACATTTTGAATGAAACACATTATTTCCCTTTCTATGTCCTGTGGTGGCTCATATGTTTTTGTTTTGCTGTTAACCTAATTATAAAATCAGCAAGAGTCTATAAAGTCATATTTTGACAACCAACATATTCAAGAGATGTTGCAAAGGAACATTTACATCCTAACTCTTATTTAGACGGATGTGGGACAGTGTCCTGCCCATCACAGGGCAAGTAAGCAAAGGTTCACAGCTTCATCAGAAAGTTGCATGTCCTTGGATGTTGTACAGAGCTCCACACACAAACACTGGCACAACCAAACATGAGGAAAGGAACTGGAAAACTCTGTGTACCTCTACCTCACAGTGCAGAACTGAGTGTACTGGATAGCTGTACTCAGGAGGGATGAACAAGTCTTACTTCTCTGTGCGGAATCAAACTGCAACATAATGAGTCTTTTGACGTCATCCACTGTTGGAGGATCTAACATGTGTTACTTCTCTTTTCACAGTATGTCTCAGGTTTAAGACCGGGGGAATGGCTTGACATTTGACTTCGACTGCAAAGAAGACAATTCATCTTTCAAGTGCATGTTGCAGGGGAGAAACTGTAGTTTATATAAGCACGCCAAATGCAAGGTATTTGAGGTATTTAAGTTACATCTAGAAATGTAAATAGAATATCAAATACAAAAGCAACATGTGGCTTGGATTAGCAATTTGGGGGGGGGTCATGATTCTAAATGTATGCTCTTACTTTATTCCATGTCTTGACATCACACCTGTATTAATGACCCTAGGATTAAAGCATGCATATGGCTTCAAGCATGTACCTTTCATTCTCCCTTCATTCCTCAGTTATTATTATTTCAGCATTAGTTCACCACATACCTATGTAGTTCGATCAAACCCAAACACAAAGCATACCAGTTCAGAAAATGGAGCAATAAAGCTTCACTTTAAGACCAATTTTGGGTGCTCAGGTAGCACTGCCCCTTTTTTCTGTCTGACACAAATATAAAACTCATACTGAAAAACAAAACTATTGAGCTGTTTTCAACAGAGCTCTTTTTTTAAAATGTTATTTCTAACGTGACTACAGAACAGAAGGTTCTGTCTCAGTTATAACTTTCCAGGCACTGTAACTCACCTGTTACTATCTATCACTTACAGGTTGAAACATAGGTTTTTGGCAGGAGGTCTGTTCTGGGTCTGATTACAAGGAGATTTGTGCTGGCTATTTATAGCCTAAAAGCGCTGCTTGGGTTCCCTGGTTTCTTGTTAGCTTAGGAGTTTATTTAAAGACATGATACTCTTGTGCTACAAATCAAGGTCAGAAAGATGTTCAATTTCCACTTAAAAACTGTGAAGCCACATTTTCTTCTAGAGCATGAGCAAAACGACCTCCACTTAAGAGTCAAGTGCCTCTCCCATCCTCAGTGTCCGTAAGTGTGGGGTTATCATTAGCTCATTTACTCCATCTGTTTCCAGGCTCATTACCTCCAGAGAAAGAAAATGTTTCCGCGCTCCAGCCAGACTCAGACATGTGCCCTTAGGAACCAGGATGGGATAAGGCAGTCCAAACATGGAGAAAAAAAGTAACAACACCACAGGTCGAAATAAAAACAATGATTACTTCCAGGTATCCTGAACTGTTTGTCTGTATTGCAGCTGGGACTGCTGGACACACAATTGTGGCCAATTTTCTATTCATCTTCCACTTACTCGTCTCTCAATTGCCCCTTTCTCTTTCGCAGTCTCACCTGATTTTATTATAGGATGTACTTTCAATTCTTCAAGTATTCTTTAACTGCTTCAAGTCAGCCACAAGCCTCAAGTCACTTACACAAAGTCTTAAGAATTTACAGACTTTCTCCCCGAGCCTCTGTCCATGATCTGTTATCACTCTTGTTAGCATGAGTGAATCAGAAAAATTAAGCCCAACAGTCACTAAAGTGTTAAAACAACCCATTTTAGTTTAATAAGGTGATCCAGAGTGTTTTTTTCCAACCCCCCTTTCATTGCCCATCATTTTCTGTGCACCTCTCAGCCAATTGCATTGTATCCTGTTTTGCATCCTCACCCCACAACCCTTTTTTTTTGCTCACATACTTTTTTCCCTCCTTCTTCCTAACGGCCTTCTTGAGCCCTGATAGGCTTGCTGGGGATAAAACCTGGGGGCTGCAGGAGAAGAAGGACACTTTGGAGCGAGATGGCAAGGGGGACGGTGGCCACATACCTGCAGGGAGTGCTTCTCCTGGCTGTGTGGAAACCCTCACTACAAGGAGGTAGGTCCCTGACACTGCATGCATGTGCAGCTCTGCAGCACCTGCGGATCACATGTCATTTATGAATCATCAGCACAATTATTTTGGGGGGTAATATTTCATATCTGGTCAGAAAACTGTAGACAATATTGGACTTTAAACAAAATAGCCAAGACTCGAAAATATTCTCTTGGTACATATTTTTTGACAATTGTGTGAAATAAAATGTGGTTTACTTTTTTATCAGCTTATTTAGACTCAGAAATGTCAAGATGTTTATATCTGGATGAACTCTGAACACTCCTGCTAATAAGGATGAAACTCATCAAATGAGTGAAATTAATCAGATTTGGTCTTGTTTTCTTTGATTTCACAGCTCAGGTGTATTGGTGTATTGTTGTATGATTTCTGCAGAGCAACATTATAATCATAACTTTTTACATGTCCTATTAAACTGTAATTAGAAGCACGTGCTTCAGACCTCATGCTACAAGATCTTTGTCTCGCTGAACATTTAGGGGTTTTGAGCTTTGAAATCTGTTTGAATTAATACATTTAGGTGCAATGCAACTGGACAGGAAAAACATTGGTTTGTTTCTTACTATTTATTTGTCTTAGATTAGCATTTGCAATGAGTCATTTTATTTGTTAGCTTAAGTCAGATCCAAAAAAAGATTTAAATCCCTAAACACACAGCAAAAAGTTGTAAACATCGTGAAGACATTTAAGTTTTTTAGGTTTCACAGTTTGGTCGTTTCAGCTTTTCACAATGGGGAATATTTAGTCTTCTGGCACAACTGCACTTTATTTGGTTCGTGCGACAACACATTACTGCTAGATATAATGACCTGATAATGGCAAAAAGCCAGAGTCCAACCGGCTTCACAATCAAGTGGATGTCCATATAAAACATCATTTTTTTCTGTGTCCTAATTAGATGATGTTGGCATGAACAAAAATCTCCAACAGTGAGGGGATGCAGCAGTTGTACACGTCAGGTCACATCTGTAATCCATGGGGATCTTGAGTTTATGGGTGTTCTCAATTCAGTTATTACATCTAAAAACAATTTAAACACAGGCACAAGATAAGCTTTGTAATGCTTGTGGAAAAAAAGCCTGAAGCTATAAATCATGGTCTTAATAAACAAGAAAATTTCAAATGGCATGCATTGTGTTCAGTTTTCTCAAAGAAACTAAACTCCCTGCAATCCATCAAGCAACTAAAGACATCTGTAAATCTTTACCAGCTGATGGCATTGGAAGGAAAGAATCACCAAATCTTTAGTACTTTTGGATCCCACAGGCCTCAACAATTGGTAGTTTATATTACCAGAAAATGAGAGTAATTTTATAATTTCATTAACGAGATAATCATGATGATGGAAAGAAAAAAATTCCAAACAGTAAACACCTCTCTGGAGAACTTGAGTGTGTATTTTTTGTTGGACCACAAACAACTGAAACTTTTTGAGGAGGCTGAGCCGTGCATGATCCAGCACTCAGAGCCCAATGACTGAGCAGCTGAGTTATTTACTGTGTGTTGTTAATGTACATGGCATTACAGTGAGATCAGTAACTCACATTCTGAAAGTATCCCCACAGACCTCTTTTTTTTTTGCATCTGGACTGTGGGTTCATAACAAACTTTTCCTTTTATAGATGTTCGCTCTGCATGTTTCTATTTTTAGCAGGCATGAATTGTGGAGTGCAACATAGGTGCAGAAAAGTGTGAGAATTATGACCAGAGACGCATGCCTTTCAGATGAAGCAGTGTTTGTTATCTGCTGCTGAGAAACTCGGACCCCGAACCCGGAGCTGATAACCACCATGCACAAACACACTCACCATGAAGCCAGACACACGCTTTGGTTCTCCCTGATTGGGTGACATCTGATCCAATTTAACTTTAATCTTTCTTATTGGGACCAATGTATTAGAGAGCAGATGATCACACATGGTTACCTCTGAGGGATGACTCACAAATTCAGTCATCTGCTGGGGGATCAAAACAGAGGGACACACAACAGTTAAATATCAAACTGTGGTGTGTATAGAACTCAAATAAATTATTTAATTCACATAATTTAAGGTTTTGAACATGTCTTGAGTTGTTACTTAATGTTTACTTGAATTGGATTTACCCCAAAACAGATGCATATACAAAACTGAATGTACTTTCCTCAAGAAAAGAAGCTTTGTTCAGCCTACGCCTTGAACCAATTTAAAATGCTCTCATCTGGTCCCTATGTGTATTAGGCGTATATGTACCAGGCGCTGGAGGAGCTGGAGCTGCCACAGGAGGTGGTGCAGGGCCTGGATTTGGCCCCGGTGGGACTGGAACTGGATTTGGTCCGGGTGGAGCTGGGACAGGTTTTCAGCCTGGTGGTGGAATCGGACCAGGCGGGACTGGTACTGGTCTAGGAAGCTTTGGACCAGGAACTGGAGGCGGTAAATACAGACCGCAATTTCTTAGGTCTGGTTTAACATCATGATATGATGTGGTTTACTCATACCTAACGTGTATTCAGGAGGCTATGGTGGACAAGGACCTGGAGGGGTCGGACCTGGAGGGGTCGGACCTGGAGGTGTCGGACCAGGAGGGGTCGGACCCGGAGGTGTCGGACCTGGAGGGGTCGGACCTGGAGGGGTCGGGCCTGGAGGGGTCGGACCTGGAGGGGTCGGGCCTGGAGGAGTCGGACCTGGAGGGGTCGGACCAGGAGGGTTCCGGCCATCAAACTTTGGTCCAGGCAGTGGGGGCCCAGCACTTGTGCCTGGTGGTGTTGGGGCAGGTAAGGGAGGAATGGCTGGTAGTCATGATTATTCATTCATTATACTATGTATGAAGATAAGCATGCCCTAATATGGTGTTTAATCACCTTCCATGATGTTCTTTTTCTTGCAGGTGGAAAACCTCCAAAAACAGGCAAGACTTACCGGGGTGGTGGTTGTTTGTGCTCTTGTTTCTTTTCTTGTTTCTTTCATTTTTTAATTTAAATGCCATTACGTTTTTGTAAGAAATAACTCTACAAGCCATTATGATAATTCTTACGGTCCAATAGGTGGATACGGTGGACGCGGAACGGGACAGGGAGCTGGGGGTTTGGGAGGAGGGACTGGTGGATTTGGACCAGGTGGTGTTGGTCCTGGAGGCTATGGAACTGGACCTGGTGGAGTTGGTCCAGGTGGTTATGGACAAACTGGCACTGGTTCAGGTGGCCAAGGCACAGGTAATAATATTGTTCTCACAAACCAAGTGTTTCTTTTATTGTAGATTTCAAATTCCTTGCTATGGTTAACCAGAATCAACCACCCAAATGACTTTGACTGAGTGTACTCAAACATATGCTTAAATTTCAAGGTAGCATGGAATAAATGTATTCCCACTCCCACAACAGACTAGTACTAGCTACAGCAGGGTCTGCATATTGAGAACACTTACATAAAAAATGAATGCCTGTGTTTACTTACATCATGTTAAGGCCAGAATAAGTGGAAATTCTCAGACCGCTTCGCAAGCATCCGTGCTCTGCTCCTATACTGTAAATATTGTTCCTCCTCCTGCTCAGTGCAACCGGATAAGGACCGCATACATGTACCATTATTTCATTTCCTCACTACCTCTGGGTTAGAGGCTATTGTTCAGGGGCCACACATCCTCACAGGCGCACACATATAGCGATAAAGGTTAATGCTTTAGGCATGGGAGTCCCTTAATAAAGGACGGAAGTTAGCACGTCAGTCAGAAAGACAGATTTGCTTTGGAATTTCAGGCTTCTCTGTTTTTTATCCCCAAAACCTGTGGGTTGCTTGTACTAGATGACAAGTGTCTGTGATAACATCCAAGTGATTATCTGAGGTTAAGTCTTAGCTCAGTGAAACTGTTTGACATCCCCCCGTTATGCCAGATGACAGAAAATGGGCCAAAGTGAGCACAGGAAACACACTCAGAAGTCTGATCACTGCTTGTCCTCAAAAGGATATGGAAGCCTTGGAGCAGGAAGCCTTGGTGCTGGTGGGGGCCAGGGAGCTGGAACTGGTTACACACCTGGAGGTCAGTTGTTTTATTTGTTAGCATCTACTGAGCCCCTTGTGCAACTTTAATAGACATGTGCTTCCTGCATTGTCACTTGATCCCTTTGATCAACACAATTTACCTGAGGCACAAAAAACTTTAGTCAGCTAGTCCAATAGTAAAATCTTCAAATAAACACATAGAAATAAGCCTTTTATAAAGTCCAATCTTAAGTTATCTGTAACTTTACCTGATTTAGGCGGTTATAGAGGATATGGAGGTGGTTATGGACCCAAACCCCCCAAAACAGGTAGCTATTTGTATATAAATATTTTACAACTTTGGTCAGTGAAATATGATTGATCTTTAATCTCTCTTACATTAGGTGGTGTGGGAACATCACTTGGTGGTGCCGGTTATGGGCCTGGTGGAACTGGGTTTAGACCTGGTGGTGCAGGGATTGGTCCTGGTGGAGCAGGTGTTGGACCTGGTGGTACAGGGATAGGGCCTGGTGGAGCAGGGGTTGGGCCTGGGGGAACAGGATATGGGCCTGGTGGTGCAGGGGCTGGGCCTGGTGGAGCTGGGGTTGGGCCTGGTGGAACAGGATATGGGCCTGGTGGTGCAGGGGT